CATGTTAAAGGTAAATGTTATAAGACAAGCATGTTAAAGGTAAAGGTTATGAGACAAACATGTTAAAGGTAAAGGTTATAAGACAAGCATGTTAAAGGTAAAGGTTATAAGACAAACACGTTAAAGGTAAAGGTTATAAGACAAGTAAGTTAAAGGTAAAGGTTATAAGACAAACATGTTAAAGGTTATAAGACAAACATGTTAAAGGTAAAGGTTATAAGACAATCATGTTAAAGGTAAAGGTTATAAGACAAACATGTTAAACCATGGGTCTTCAACAGGATAATGAGACAAAACAGCTAAAAACACCTGAGACAAGTGGAGCAGTTTGTTCATGAGGAGTGGAATAAACACCTGCTGAGAGCTGCAGAGGTCTCATTGTTACAGGAATCCTTTGATTGACTGATTGACTCAAAGCTTCAACTAAATATTAAGTTAAGAGTTCCATCATTTCTCTCCAGGTCTGATTCTGGAGTTTGACACTTTCATGAGACTTTCATTTGTTCATTTTTATAGAATTTATTTAATATTACTTCTGTCAGATTCAAGTTATTTCTGTGACCATTGTGGGTTTTTCTCTCATTAAACGAGGGGGACCAACAGTTGTGTCCTCATGTGTACATGGGTCTGACACATCAAGGGCCCGAGACTGACACTTGTGGGACACGAGTCTGACAAGTCAGGCTCACAATATGGCTGTAACATATTTGACAGCTGGAGGTTTGTCTTTGTCTACCTGTTCAGGTATTACCTTGGTGACCGTCTGCTTGCTCGGGGAAATGCATGGTTGGAAAGTGCAGTGATCGATCAGATCGGCAGCTGCTTTCCCAGTCGTTTCCCTCAGCAGATGTTGAAGAACCTCAGTGAGTCGGCTGAGTTGCAGCAGGAGTTTCACCTTTACCGGCTGCAGCAATTAGATGAATGCCTGCAGGAACATGACCAGGTTAGCACAAACTTTAACCCCACTGTTTTCTGTGTTCCTTTACTCTGTTTTTCTCAACAGGTTGACACATTTAATACTTGGTGTTAAAATTTAAACAAGAGTACACAGCAGATTATCTGAATGAGATATTTCAGATCCATGCAGTGGTTTGTTGTGTGGTTGTGTGTGTGGTTAGTTGGTTATTTGTGTGCTTGTTTGGAAATGTGCTTGGTTAGTTGGATGGTTGGTTGGTTGGATGGATAGTTGTCTGGGTAGATGTCTGGTTGGTTGTGTAGTTTGTTGATCCATTGGGTGTTTGGATAGTTGTTTGTGTAGTTGTTTGGTTATGATGTTGGTTGTGTTGTTTGTTTATTGGATGGTCAGTTGTGTTGGTTGAATGTGTTAGATTTTTGGCTGAATGATAGGATAGTTGGTTGTGTTGTTGCATTGGTGGTTGGTTAGTTGGTTGATCAATATTTTTGTTTACAATAGAATTAGATTTTGACTTTATTTTTTAGGAAAATGACTGTAGGATAAAAACCTGCTCCTTGTGTGACCCTAACATTCAGTTTACTCCTCTTATCCTACGGGTCCAGAATGACCCGCCCTACTGACGCCCTACACAAAGCAGCTTAATTGACTTTTAAATCCAACATCTTTTTTACATGATGAAACAACTTATTTATTAATTCAACTCAATTTAATTCATTTTTTAACATGTATGTATGTATGTATTTTTGTTACACAACACAAAAAGACCATCCCTCTGTGATGGCTGTCAGTTTGTCCGTCACACACCTTGCTGGTCTGGACTCATGGTTGTCAAACCTCAGCATGCGTGAGAAAGAAAGACTTTCAGCAGCATTGTGGCTTGAAAAAAATGCCGTTCCACTGTGTGAATAAAAGAGACTACATGTAGCCTCACCATGGGACCTACAGTATATACACCTGCTAATATCAAAGCTCTGTGTAGCCATGCAGGTCAATCTACATCTCCATGTTTTCCCAGTTTTCTCCATATTTCCAGAAACCCTCCCAATACAAACTCTCTGGGATGATTTTATCGATGGCTGGTGTGATGAACAGGAGAACGGTGGATGAACTGTTTTGGACATGGGCAGCCATGTTGGACCTGAACTTATGATGTTTGATGCTGCTGGTCTTCCCTGGTTGTTTGTCTGATTTTGATGAAGACCATGCAATTTTGCCGTTCTTTGACAAAAATGTCTCTGTCAGAGAGATTTCCTCTTCATTATCTGAAGATGCATCATCCTCTGGGTTGCATTCCTCCACATCTTCTTCTTCTTACACATTTTCATCTTCTTGTTCCTCTTGAGCTCCTGAAAATATCTCATCCAGGATCAGTTTGGCAGTGAAACATCTATTCATGGCTTCAGCAAGGAACCAACCTTTATGTCCTCTATACTGAATTTCTATGGCCATCCCTCCCTGAACATGCCAGATCTCCTCTGATCTCAGAAGCTAAGCAGGGTTGGCCTGGTTAGTACTTGGATTGGAAGGTGCTATAAAAAAACAATGTAGGAGTTGTGACCATATTGGTCACTAGCAATAGATAAGCTTTGACCATAATAGGTCATAGGTCACCTTCTGGAAGGATGCCCAATCAATCAATCAATCAATACTGAATATGTTTTTCTTGTGTCTGAGATTGTTTTTTTTAGTTTGGGAGCTTGTGTGATGTGAGGGGTTAGCTGCAGATCAAGAGTACAGGTCAAATGCAAGTTCCTGTGTCTTTGGTGTGTGTGTGTGTACTTGTTTCTACTACAGAGTGAGGACCATTTGCACCATAGTTAATATCAAAGTGAGGACTTTGATGTAAGGTGAGGACTTCAATGTCCTCATTCGGTTTGCAGCTCTGCTGTCTTTTATTAGTTAGGTTTAGAGGTATGGTGTGAGTTAAGTTCTGGTTCAGGTTAGAGTTAACTATAGACCAGTAATGGTTAATTTTATTAGTTAGGTTTAGAGGTATGGTGTGAGTTAAGTTCTGGTTCAGGTTAGAGTTAACTATAGACCAGTAATGGTTAATTTTACTAGTTAGGTTTAGAGGTATGGTTTGAGTTGAGTTTTGGTTCAGGTTAGTGTTAACTATAGACCAGTAATGGTTAATTTTACTAGTGTGTATTAGAGTTTGTGTGTGGCCTTTGAACTGTGTTTTTGGTGTTTAAATTCTTTTATAACTCACTGTTCAAAAATGAGTTAAAGGACAGTCGTAACCTGGAGGTGTACAGCCCACATGGAAACATAAACATAAACATTTTCTAATGATGGGGTCCCTTTAAGAAAAGTCATAAAATGTCAAGTTGGAAGAAGAAAGTTTAAGGTATTTTTTTCTGCAGCTAAATGTGGTAACAGGTTACTTTTGATGCAGAAGACAACACATGTGATAAGTACATTACTAAACGTGTTTAAAAGCTTGACGTCCTTCACTTGTTGCTGTAGATGATGGACGATGACTGGACAGAAGCAGAAGAGGAAGCAGAGGTCCAGGTTCTAGTTCTGTCTCCACGATGTTGGGCTGTGTCTGCCGTTTGTTTCCTGGATGAACCAGCAAAACAGTTTCCATCTGAACTCTGCTCCTACCTGAACCAGTTCACCCAGTTCTACACACACAGTGAGTGCCACTTTTTACCAGTTCTGTTAAACCAGGCTTAACTTTGTCTTTAAACCAAATATAACAGAATTATTTATAGTTTTAAAGCAGAGTGCTACACTACAAACCTTACCAAACGTGTTCAACAAAGCAGGGCTTTCTTCTCTTACTGTAAGAAGAACAGAAATATGTGATAGAAGTATTAAAGTCACTTTGTGTAATGTTTGAGTCTTATCTCAACAACAGGATCACAGGTCAATACAAAGCCATCAGGCTCTCTGATAAAATGTCCTTTTGAGGCAGTTTGAGGGCCTCGTGTATAAACTGTTTAACAAACACCGTTATGTGATGTTAGCATCCCTGTTGATCTACAAAATAATGCTGAGTCATGCTTCATGTTCACACCATCGCTGCTGTCTTCTGTCTGTCTGAAAGCTGTTTCTGGCTTCTGATGTTGAAAAACTCTATCTCTCAATTCTCTTCCTTCTTTGTCTTCTAAGATATTGGAAGTGCGCCAAGCTTTTTAAAACCTCTGTTATGGGTGGAGTCAAGGTTTTAAGTTGGCCAATCAAAATATTACACCTTATACAGGAAAAGTTTTTAACAAATCAAATCAGTTTTGGAGGGAAAACTTTACTTCAGGACAAAGAAAAGGGAGTGTTTTAGTTTAATTATCTTGCACCTAATTAAAGGGAGAGACATCTGTTTACCTCAGTAAAATAAGAATGTCACATTTAGTTAAAAATTCAAGTCCTAAGGTTTCTAAGGATTAAATCATGGAATAAAACACACACTGTTTAAAATCATGAAATAMAAGAAACATCTTCAGGAAAACATTTCATCAACAGTTACACAATACACAGTTAAAAAGAACACAGTGGAGCTTCAATGGGTTTTGTTCTTTCTGTAAAAGAAACAGGTAAATCACATTTCTTTGATTAAGATAAATGAAAACAGACAGTTGGATAAAATCATTCAATCTTGTTCTCTTTTTTTCACATTTAATGGAGAATGTAGGTCCTTTGTCTCAGTCACTGAAGAGTCTGGTTAAAGGTGTTCATGACCCCCTTTAAAGAGGGGCGAACAGACAGTCCTTATCTATTAACATTAAGGCATCAGGAAGTCTGGTGGGGGGTTGGTGGAAGAGATGCTAATTCAAAACACAAAGGAAGTTTCCATGCACAAGCCTTAAAAAATAGTCTGAAGTTAAAGTGGATTTTGTTCCTTCTTTTGAGCAGTCACAGGAACAAGTGAAATCTAATCAGAAATGATTAATTATATGCAGGAAATGCTACAGCTTTTTTAAATAACTGTCTTGAATAATTTCACTTTGTTAGTTAAATACAGGCTAGATTTGTTGAAAACTAAAAGTTGAACTTGTCTGTTACACGACAAGCTTACCTCTGGTTTAAGCCAGGCAGATTTAGTTATAAATAAGGTTTAACCCAGGCTTAAAACCAGCCTCTTCTTGGTTATCAGCTAGGCCTAAACTGACCTTTAACCAGCTTTGTCTTTGTTTTAATGTAGTACATGCAGACATTTAGCTTTAAACTAGCCTTAGTTTCTGTTAAAAGTCTGACTAAATTCTGGTTTGAGACCAGCCTAATGTTTATTATAAACCCAGTGAACTGTCACAAGTCTAGTCTCTGTTCGTAGAGAGGCCTGATGCTCTCTGTTTAAACCAGTCTTCTTTAAACAGACTGGTTTAACTTTAGGTGTAAACAGGCCTACCTGTAAACAGTAATGTCACTTTACAACACGCTTTGCTTTGTTCCAGTTCTCTCTGTCATAAAGCCTGCCTTTAAACCAGTGTGTTGTGTAGTCTGGACTGACAGCAGTGTGTTGTGTAGTCTGGACTGACAGCAGTGTGTTGTGTAGTCTGGACTGACAGCAGTGTGTTGT